GGTAGGAGATGGAGGTGCGGCTTGAGGTGGGAGGAGGGGATAGGTGGAATGAGACTAGTTCAGTTTAGGAAACCTGGTCAGCATGGATGAGTTGGGCTAAAGGGCCTGTTTCTGTGCTGTATGTTTCTATAACTCTGACTCTTCCCCTCTCCATCTGTGTGTGTGTGTCTCCACCTTCTCCATTTGTGTATCTCCCTCTCCCCCTCTGTCCGCTGTGCATGCGTCTATCTGTCTCACTTTGTTTCTCAATCCCCCCTTTCCCTCACTCTCCTTGCTTTCGCTTTCCCTGTCTCTCATGACCTTTTATCATGTACAATGTACTGATCCACACAGGCCCACGGTATGAGTGGATCCCTAGCCCACTGCGTAGGACAGGGGCACACGGGGCTTCGAGAGTTTAATTCCTCCACCCCCAGGAACGAGACAGTGACTGACTCGCATCCAAGTGACTCCATCACTAAGAGACCTCTATGTTTCCTAGCTGAGGGCAGGCTTAGTCCTGGAGGTTTTAAAACATGGCCACTAGCCACCAATTGCCGTTTCCCCAATCATTGGGACACACGGCGACGAGAACAACACATAGTATTCGAGAGCTTTGCATAGACAGCGTTTGGAATTCTGAGCAGAGTTTTAGTCTCTACATTGTAGGAAGGATATGCTTCTTGCATTACAAGAGAAATCTCAGAGATGCTGAGTAATCTGTCTAGAAGAAGGGATGGTTGTCTCATTGAAGCGCACAAGATTGTGAAAGTGTTCGATAGGGTAAATGCGAAGAGATTGTTTTGCTGGGGAATCTCGAACACTCAGGGTATGGATCAGTCTGGGGATAAGGACCCGATCATTTCAGACTTGTTTCTATATGTGTTCATGGGGTGTGGACGTCTCCACCACTATTACCAAGAGGGTAATTAAGAATTAACCACATCGCTGTGGGTCAGGAGTCACGTGGGCCAGACTGGGTAAGGACAGTAGTTTCTTTCCCTAAAGGACATGTGTGAATCGGATGGGTTTTTGCTAACAACTGACAAGGGTCACTATCAGACTGTTAATTCCAGACTGTTATTGCATTCAAACTTCACCATTTGGCATGGGGGTGGTTTGGAACCTGGGTCCCCAGAACATGAGTTGGGTCACTGGATTAATAGTTTAGCGTTAATACCACAAGATCAATGCCTGCTCCCCATACCGTCCCCATCAAATACTCCCAGGACAGAGACAACATGGGCTTAGATACAGAGTAAAGCTCTCTCTACACCATTCCCCGTCAAACACTCCCAGGACAGGGAGAGTACAGGGTTTAGATACAGAATAGAGGGTTGCTTTTCAGACTGGAGGCCTGTGACCAGTGGTGTGCCACGAGGATCGGTGCTGGGTCCACTGCTTTTCATCATTTTATATAAATGATTTGGATGTGAACATACGACATATGGTTAGTAAATTTGCAGATGAGACCAAAATTGGAAGTGTAGCAGACAGCGAGGAAGATTGCCTCAGAGTACAGTGGAATCTTGATCAGATGGGCCGATGGGCTGAGGATTGGCAGATGGAATTTTTTTTAGATAAGTGTGAGTCGGTGCACTTTGGAAAGGCAAATCAGGGCAGGACTTACACACTTAATGGTAAGGTCCTGTTTCTGTGCTGTACATCTCTATGACTCTACACTGTCCCCCAGCCAATCACCCCCAGGACAGGGACAGCACAGAGTTTAGATACAGAGTAAAGCCTCCTCTTCACTGTCCCCATCGAACTCTTGAAGGACAGGGACAGCATGGGGTTAGATACTGCGATGAGGAGCAATGTCTTCCCTCGGAGGGTGGTGAATATTTGGTTCTGTCTTCCCCAGAGGGTTTTGAACGCCCTGTGGTTGAATATATTTAAGAACTGGGACGGACAGAGTTTTGCTGTCGGGGAATCAACGGAGAGGAAGAGCAATTCGGAAAGTGCAGTTGAATCTTAGGATCGGTGTGGATCGTATTGAATGGAGGAGGAGGCTTGATGGGCAGAATGGCCTAGTCCCCCTCGGATTTTGCGTGTTTGTGTCCATTGTCGTTCTTGTAAAGGTGCAAAATGAGCAGGCCATTAAGAGGGGAGCAGGAAAGCTGACGATTCGGATCTAGACCCTTCATCAGAAAGAAAGAGTCTCTAGACCCGAAACGTCAGCTTTCCTGCTCCTCTAATGCTGCTTGGCCTGCTGTGTTCATCCAGCTCTACACCTTGTTATCTCAGATTCTCCAGCATCTGCAGTTCCTACTATCTCTGAGACCATTAAAAGGGTTAGGGATAGAAACGCAACATTTGAGCATTCTCAGCAGGAAGTGACTCTGAACAATGCACAGGCTCGAGGGAACGTTACTGAGATTAATCCTCAGAGTTTTCTCTTTTGTTGTTACAGTTTCCTGTGAACTCATTTGCATCTGGGATTAGAGTAAACAGGATGCCAGCTGCTGTTCTTTTGTGTGGTGTAAAATCAGAGTCTCACCTCCACATTCCCACCTTTAACCTCCATGACTGACTCTGAACAGATTGTGGCTAAGGTCTCAGTTACTGGGGAGTCAAACTCAGACAGACTATTTGGCCAGCTGGTCCCATTTTCGTCACAATAATCAGTGCCTTTTTCTCATGTTAGAATCTCTGTCACCAACCGTTATAAAAATTTCACGCTCTATCTAACCCCGTGTTGTCCCTGCCCTGGGAGTGTTTGATGGGGGAC